TCATCACATCGCAACTGGCTTCTCAGTTGCTCCCTCCCGTTTCCTATGTGGCAGTAAAACACCATCTTTCCCAAGTATTTCTGTTGTTTGGTTACACAGGGTGCTTTGAAAAATACTTAAAGCAATTTTCCACTTGAGGCAAGAGAAAGATAAGATAGGGTACATACAATGGGATTATCTATTTAATCTATAGACCTTTGAAGAGTGTTTTCTTTTGTTAGTGAAGCAGCGTCTGGAAGCTGGGACCATCTGCTTAACTCTTTAGAAAATTCTTACATAAAAAAAAAGGTGTGTGCTTGTTGTGGGATGGGGCAGAGTAATGGAACCAACGTTGATGGGACATCTGCAGCAGGTATATATTGGCTGCTTTTCACTGGGTTACTACACAGTTTATTCTTTAGTCTTGCTTGCTTTTGCTTTTAAACACTATAGAAGTCCTACTTGAATTTTGCATCAAATTGAAACCTCTAACTTATGGGTAGGGTTAACATATAGCCCCATTTTCATATATTTTGCCTGTTCTCCCTATAAATATGCTTGCATTTATTAGATCTTGTACACTGACTAGTGGTTTGGGAAATATAGGCAGTATAACTTAAAGGCAGGGGACCCAGAATGCCTAGGTTCGTTGGCTCCACCACTTACCAGTACCTTGAGTAAAGTATTTAACTTTTTTGTGCCTTGATTTATCTGTAAAATCAGGATAACAAATAGTAGCTGCCTCATAAGAGTTGTGAGGAGTTTAGAATAGTATCTGCCACATAGAAGTGCTCAATGAATGTTAGCTATTATTACTATTATTTAAGCCCTTCTAAGGAGGCTTGAAGGGTGCAGTGGTTAAGCGCTTGGCTGCTATCCGAAAGGTTGTCGGTTCAGACTCAACGGCCGCTCCATGGGAGAAAGATATGGCAGTCTGTTTCCATAAAGATTAAACCAAACCCCCTGCCAACGAGTCAATTCTCACTCATAGCGACCCTATAGGACAGAGTAGAATTACCCAATAGGGTTTCCAAGGCTGTTATGGAAGCAGTCTGCCACATCTTTCTTCTGTGGAGCAGCTTGTAGGTTCCAACCTCCAGTCTTTTGGTTATCAGCCAAGTGCTTCAACCACTGTGCCACCAGGGCTTGCTTCTATAAAGATTATAGCCTTGAAAACCCTATGGGGCAATTCTACCCTGTCCTATAAGGTCACTATGAGTAGAAATTGACTGGATGGCAAAGGGAAAGAAAATAAACAGGAGGCTTATTTTTCCTACATATTTCTTCATACCAGTGGCATGCTGATAAATGTTTAACAGTTGGTTCTCTGGAAAAACAAAAACAAAAGCAAGCCCTCATTTGTGGCTTTTGCCGATTTCTGTGGTGTAAATACTGTGTGAGTGAAGCAAGATGATACATGTAAACAAGCACCCAAAAAACCAAACTCACTGCCATAGAGTTGATTCCAGGTTTCCAAGGTTGTAAATCTCTACAGAAGCGGACTGCTGCATCTTTCTCCCGTGGAGTTGCTGGTGGTTTTTAACTTAGCAGTCAATTGCTTTAACCACCGCAACCACGAAGGCTCCCTAGAGCTTGGTAAATACTCAATTAAAACAAACAAACAAACAACCTTGATTAGCAGGGGCAGGTAATACTATTTTCCCGTTTGGATGAATCAACTAAGAGAACAGTGACTTGTCCATAATTCCACAATTAGCAAAGGTCAGAGGAAGGACTGGAATCCAGACTGATTCCTTAGCGTGTAGAAGGGTATCTTTATTTAGTACATGCATACACGCACCACACACGTAGTAAAAGTAACAAATGGGAAATGCTTTATATGCTGTTTAGTACACACCCCTCTCTCCTAGCCCAGTGAGTCAAAATTTGAAAAACTTCCCAGGCTTGTGGCTAAAAATACAAGACTAGTTCTGCTTGGTTTGACAGTGAAAAGTTATTCTTGCCATAGCTTCATCTGCAAGATGGGGCAAATGAACTTGCCTACTAGTTAGCATGAGAATTCATTATATATTTGCAGTGTGCTTTGAACTTCTTAAAGAAAGATGCCCTTCTTGTGGCAGGCATCCCACTAGGACGGTATTCCTCTGACTGTCGTGACAGAATCATGCTTGAGTCATCAGCTCTCTGTCAGCATCACTCAGCAGCTGCCCTGCCAAGCTTCAGCACGAGGTCATATTGTTCTTTTGACTGTTGGGATCCCTCCAATTTGTTTTAAGCCCTGTTTTTTCAGGGAAACAATAGGAACTATATTTTAATTACAGCAGGAGAGACATGATCAAAACTCTTTTCTACTTTTCAATCTTTCTGAAGTTTCTGACACTGAACCCCTTCTTTCTGAACAAATCTCCTTTTTACATATCTTTGAAATTAATTTTTAATTAATGAACATAGTACCTATGTTGTTGTTAGTTACCATTGAGTTGGCTCCGACTCATGGCAACCTTATGTATAATATAAGGAATGTTGCCCAGTCCTGCGCCATCTTCATAATCATTTGTATGTTTGAGTCCAGTCAGACAATATTCTGTTCTGATCTGCAGGGTTTTCACTGGCTAATATTTAGAAGTAGATCGCCAGTCCTTTCTTCCTAGTCTGTCTTAGTCTGGAAGCTCCACTGAAACCTGTCCACCATGGGGGACCTTGCTGGTATTAGAAATACTGGTGGCATAGCTTCTAGCATCATAGCAACATGCAAGCTACCACAGTATGACAAATTGACAAACAAGTGATGTATAGTACATATATATAGGGCAAAAAAATTAAAAGGTACCAAAAAAAAACCCAAACCAAACCCACTGTTGTCGAGTCTATTCCAACTCACAGCAACCATATAAAAAAGCCCGTTGCCATCAAGTTTATTCCAATTCATAGCAACCCTTTTGGTTAGCAGCCTGAGCTCTTACCCACTGCGCCACCAAGGCTCCTAGCAACCCTTTAGGACGCAGTAGAACTGCCCCATAGGGTTTCCAAGGCTGTAAATCTTTACAGAAGCAGACTGCCACATCTTTCTCCTGTGGAGTGGCTGGTGGGTTTGAACCAACCTTTCAGTTCCCTCCTCCATTTTACAGATGAAGAAACTGAGATACAGAAATGTTGAGTAAATTTTCCAACATCACATTGCTAATAAGTGGTGTAGTCACGATTTAAATTTTAGTGTTTGTAAAGTCTGAAGTTGAATTCTGGAGCGCTCATTCAAATAAAATTCACTGATAACTGCACCACCTAGAAATAAATACTGCTAGACATTTGGTGTGTGTTTTTCTTGTCTTTTTCCCATACACATGTACTTACGAGTTTATCAGAGAAATCTTCTTTGCCATTAACCTGTGCTAGATAATCCTGGTTCTACCTTATTGTACTCAGGGTACAATAGAGTGGGTACAAGAAAATCATGGGAGTGGGGTGGGATATAGAGAAGGAACTTCAGAAAATATCTCCAAGTATTATGTTACTTATAACATCCTTCTAGTTTTTCTTTTATACAAAAATTGTCCTTCTATAAGGTTGTACCAATTTACATTCCCACCATCTGTGTATGAGTGAGGGGTTTCATCATACATTTACTACACTTGATATTCAGTAGGTCCCTAAATGCTGTATATTCTCATTTGATTGTATTTAGTGCCTTTTTATCTCATAAAAACCTTTTTTGTTAATTAACATCAAGGACACGGTGTTCAGAAACGTTCTCTAAAATAATATTGTCAGAAACTTTGCTGTTTGAAATTATACCTCTGTGAATGGAACATCCCATACTCTTGCCTTGAGGATCTGAGCCATGTGGGTCACTTTGACACGGGATTTTCAATTCAGGCACAAAGCTTTAGATAAAGAGTTTTCAGACCCAACATTCCAAGCTTATCTTAACTTTGAGGTTTCCCAGGAAAGAGGACCCGGGGGCTTCTCAGTTCAGGCCTAAGCCTGATGTGAAACCTTTACACATAGCCCTACTTTGCCTTAAGGCTATCAAAACACTGCTTCATTTAAATTTTACTAAACTCCACCCTTCCTCATAACTCTATTCTCCTTTGGTGAGATGGCCCAGGTTCCTCTGGTATGTTGTCTCCTTTGTCACGGAAAGTTAGTAAATCTAACTTTGTTGACTAAGGGAGTGTTCCTGGTCACCTTTACCGGATGGCCTTATCGATCCTCACCTGTAGGCCCTAAATCTGAAAACAACAGGAAAAGTTCCTTTTAATATCTCTTTACTGATTTTTTTTTTAAAGCACGAGGTGACTTTTATCTGCTTGTAATTTAAGTCTTGCCTGATGAAACTAGATTAATAGCCAAGATCATTACTGCTTTCAGTTCTTCCAATACTCCAAGTTAGCCGGACCGGCTGTTTTATCTGCAGTGGAAAACTCTTCCCCGGGATCTTCACCTGACTGGCGTAGCCTAAATGTCACCTCCTCAGAGAAGTTCTCTCTAACCATCCTCATCTTAAAGTAGACATCTTTCCCACACCATCCCCACCCCTGTCACTCTACCCTATCATCTTTATTTTTTTTATCACGCTCTGAAATTATCTTATTCGATTATTTTATTTATTATCTGTCCATCTCTATTAGAATGTAAGCTTCAGGAGAGAAGGTACCACGACAGCTCTGATAGCCACAGCATCACTGGTTCTAGAACCTTGCCTGGCACTTAACAGGTCCTCAACAAACATTTGTCGAAGAGTGAACAAATGAGGGACTAACTGCTTCCTTTTACTCCTTCCCCTTTAAATACCTACCAAGTAGACTCACCTGGATTCCATCTCAGGCGAGAAACGGTGGAGGGCATTCGGCTTCGCCATTGGCTGGAGCATTTGTCGTTGCTCTTGGCAACCACTGTTTCCCACCAGTCGTGTCGAGGCCCCGCCCCTCCCCTCTTCGGCCCGCCCCACTTCGGCCTCCCCACCCAGCACCGGCCCCTTCTGAAAAAGCGGCGCTCGCCCTTTAAGCGGCGGGACTTCTCGTCACGTCGCCCGCGGCCGCCGGAAGAGGAAGTGTCGCCTGAGAACGCTCCCTCACTTGTCCGAATTCGGTGGCGCCACGTCTGCTGTTCTTCGCTTTCTGCACCGCGGCTTCGGCGGCTTCCGCCTCGACACCTTCCACTCGCGGAGCCGGCAGCGTCGTGAGGGGGCCGAGACGGGGAGTTGGCGACTGTGAGCATCCTGGAGACCTGAGAAGCGAAGATGTCGGACATCGGGGACTGGTTCAGGAGCATCCCAGCCATCACGCGCTATTGGTTCGCCGCCACCGTCGCGGTGCCCTTGGTCGGCAAACTCGGCCTCATCAGCCCGGCCTACTTCTTTCTCTGGCCCGAAGCCTTCCTCTATCGCTTCCAGGTACTGACCGGCGACGGGGGGCAGTGGAGACTCCAAGTCCCAGGCGGCCACGCGGCGGCGGAGCGTTGGCCGGCGTGTTGCCGGCGCGCGGTGCCTAGTGGGATTTGTAGTGCGTCCAGCTCCCGCGGTTTAGGGCGGGGTCCTCAGGGCCCGGGTCGGGAGGTGTAGGGGTCTGGAGCAAGGACCTGAATAGCTGGAGACGTGAGCTTTGCCCAAGTGGGAAGGGACTGGTCTCGCCCTTATATTAACATTGTGCTTCCCACTCTCTGCACTCAGTGAATGAGCAGTGAGAAGGTAAGTCAGTGATGTTTGTCAATCTGTTGGATGCTGGTGTTGGTATGTCTGAGAGCCGTGGTTAGCAGCCTGGGTCCAAGTGGAGCAGGTGTCCTCTGACCTCCCTCTATCACCCAGGTGGGTGGCGTGTGGGTATCAAGTAACTTAGCCACCATAGTGATGAGCTCTTCATATGTTAATGGAGTTTTTTTTCCCTTGTAGGAAGGATTTTAGGTCAGAGGTGCAAACAACGGGTTTATTTGCGGTTTTTCCCTAGGCAGTAACCTAGTGTCTGGCATATAGTAGTTGAATGCATGAAGGAATGAGTAAAGAGTAAATTATTCCAGAAATGGAAGATACTGTACTGTTACTTTGAACATGAAGGAAAGACTCCAAAGCGATTACTTGGCAAGGGAGTGCTCGTTTCCTGAGGGTATCTATATTTACTGGGTTCTGTGGTTTAAATTTTAATTAGTGGCGGGTCAGATACCAAGATCTGACATTTATTTTTAACACATTTGCAGGGCTTCAACCTAGTATCTTCTGGTTCGAACCCCTGCTGAGAATTTGCATTTCTAACAAGTACCCGGCTGAGAATTTGCATTTCTAACAAGTTCTCAGGAAGTTATACGTAAGAATCGCCTGGGGATCTTGTTAAATGCTGATTATCATTCAGTAGTCTGTGGGGTGGAAATGCAGATTCTCAGCAGGGGTTCGATCAGAACGAACTAACCAGTTCGAAATCCTGATTATTTGGCCTGTGGGTAACACTCTCTTGTCCCCCTCTTCACTGGCTATTATTTTTAAATCTTTTTGTCTGGTTCTTTGTTTTCCTAAAATGTTGTGATGTGCCCCGAAGATTAGTTATAGGACCTCTTTTCTACCTTCTTTCTCAAGGTGATCTCATTCAGCTTTGTCTTTAGGTACTCTGTAAACTGAAGATGCTCAGATACAAATACAGATATCTTCAGTCTAGATTGTCTTCTGATTTCTGGACTTGTACATTCCATCTGTCTATTTGAAATCACCACTTGGGTGATAATAGACATCTCAAACATAACATGTCCAAAACTGAATCCTTCCCGCCCCCTTCACGCTAGAAGTAAATAGCAACTCCAGTATTACAGAAGCTCAAGCTAATAATAGTTTTGGGGTCATCCTGATTTCTGTTTCTCTTATACTCCACAATCTGTCAGCAAATCCTGTTGACTCTGCCTTGGACATACATCCAGAATAATATCTCTTCTCACTTTCCATTGTAAGCCATTATCGTCTTCCAGCCTTACTCTTTCAATCTTTTCTCCGAACAGCTAGAGTGATCCTTTAAAAATATAAATCAAGTCCTGCCAGTTCTCTGCTCAGAAACCTTCAGTGTTTTCTCAACTCACTGTGTAAAATCCAAGTCCTTTCAATAGCCTGCAAGGCCGCCCACTGCCTCTCTGATCTCATCTCCCACTGCTTTGTACCTTGTACATTAGTTTCTACAGTGACATCCTTGCTGTTCTTCAGCACCTAACTCAGTCCCTCCTCAGGGCCTTTGCACACGTTTCTTTGCCTGAGGACGATAAACCAAGGCTCACTTCTTTACCTTCTTCCTTCCTTCTGGTCTCTGCCCAAATGCTACCTTATTGGTGAGGCCGCCTCGGATTATCCTACAGAAAATAGCACCCCTTCTTCATTCTGTCTTCCTTACTCTTAATTTTTCTTGCTACGTATCACCCATTGGTATTTATTGGTGCACTTTCCCTAAGAGAAGAAGGCTTCATGAGAGCAAGATCTTTTCTTTGTCTTGTTTACCATTGCTTTTGTCACCTAAAATAGTGCCTGGCACATAGCAGGTGCTACTGGTTGAATGCATGGAAATAGCTGGTCACTCGCTATGTGCCGGCCACTGGGGATACAATAGTGACTAGGATAGGAAAGATCCCAGCTCCTGTGAAGAAAATAAGAGCGAGGCATGTGATGGGGAGTGACTTAAAGGGTGTAATATTTAATAGGGTGGTCCAGAAAGGTCTTAGAGAAGATATTTGAACTGAAACTTAAATGATGTGAGGCAGCCTTGGGAAGATTTGGCTCTGGGGACAACCTTCCAGGAAGAAGGAGGAGTAGAAAGGCTTAGGGGCAGGAACAAGGAACAGAAAGAAGACTGTGTAGCTATTACAGATACTATAGGGGTGAGGACTGGTAGATGAAGACAGGGAGATAGCCAGAGGTGAGTGCAATAAGGTGAAGATGGAAAGTTAGTCTGGGGCTAGATCACATAGAGCTTTGTAGGCTTTGTTGTTGTTGTCTTGGCTGGTTCCTATCAAGTTGGCTCCAACTCACGTACAAGACAATCAAAGGATACCCAGTCCTGCGTCATCTTCATGATGGTTGGTATGCTGGAGTCCATTGTTGTGGCCACTGTGTATTCTGAATGCCTTTCAACCTAGAACACTCATCTCCTAGCAGTATATTGGCAGTATATTGTGATCCATAGGGTTTTCATTGGTTAATTTTCAGAAGTAGATCGCCAGGCCTTTCTTCCTAGTCTGTCTCAGTCTGGAAGCTCTGCTGAAACCTGCCCACCATGGGTGACCCTGCTGGTATTTGAAATACTGGTGGCGTAACTTCACCAGCATCACAGCAGCACACAGGCCACTACAGTACAACAAACTGGCAGACAGGTGGTCGAGGCTGTGTTAAGGGGTTTGAACTTTATTTTCAGGACACCAGGAGGCCGTGATGTGTGTGAAAGTGGGGTTAGTAGCTTACCGTGATTTGTATGTGAGGGGGGACAGCTAGGTAATGGGATCAGAGATGAGTTAAGTTAGTAGGCAAGAAAGATGGTGTTTTGGACCAGGGTGGCTGTGAATATAGGTGGATAGATGTAGGACTTGAAATGGATAAGATTGCTTGCTGGATTGGATATGAAGGATAAAAGGGTGAAGGAAACAGGATTCACAGATGTCACTGAGTGTTTATACAGAAGCAACTGAGTGGTGGCATAGTCATTTACCGAGATTGGGAATGTTTAGGGACACTCAGGTTTGTGGAGGGGTGTGGATGAAGAGTTAGGTTTTGGGCGTGTTAACTCTGAGATGCATTTTTGTTTGTTTTATTGTGGTAAAAAATACGTATATAAAAAACATTTTGCCAATTCAAGCTTTTTTACGTGTACAGTTCAGTGACATTGATTATGTTCATCATGTTGTGTTACCCTGTTTTATAGACAACTGCCTTTTCAGTTTCTATTTCAGGACTCAAAGATAGTTCTAGGCCATCTCGTTTAATTCCTTTGCATAATAGCTACCAAACCACATAGTTAAGTATGCAGTCGAACATTTTTGAAGACGATTTCTTCCAAATCAGTCATAGGGCATTATTTTTCCTTTTCTATTAGAGTAGATAGAACCATCATCACTATTTGTTTCCAGATTATTCCATCACCCTTAACAGAAACTCGGTGCCCCGTAAACAATGGCTGCCTGTATCCCCCCTTCCCGCCCATCCCTAGTAACCACTAATAAACGTTGATCTCTAAGATGCTTTTAGGCATCCACGTGGGGAAGTCCCATAGGCACTTGGATATAAGAATATGATTGTGGATGGCAGCCAGAATTGCATTCCAGAATTTTTCCTGTTATTTGCTTTAATAGATATTTGTTGAGTGAGTGAATGTCGTGTACTTTGTGCCTGTTGGGTAATGTGTGTTGCGGGGAGCAATGATAAATCATTTCATGAGAAGGGCTCGGTCAGAACTGGCTCTCTGACCCTCCTTGTAAAATCTTGCTCACTTGTGTAGTCCGTTAAGTCAAGTAAGTAATAGAAAAAAGCCTTCCTAGTAGGGGGGCAGATGTGTAATGTTAAAAGGGTGAACTGACTTGTAATCTCCTTTAGAAAGAGTCATTATTCATGTCACCCCTTCCAGGATTTTCCTATCCTCCTTGCATTGTTTCTTCTGGCCTTGTTATCCTGAGACTGAAGCTGCTGGCAGGAGGCAGGAGCCATGCACTGACTGCCCAGGTGTGAAAAGACAGTATCTTTACCGGGGTTTCGAATTGGTTCTTTCTGGTTTGAACCCCTGCTGAGAATTTGCATTTCCACCCTAGATTATATGAATCAGAATCTACATTAAGATTCCCCAGGTGATTTTTAATCTATAATAAGTTTTCAGAACCACTGCTCTACTAGTGGTTCTCAGAATTGGTCCCTAACCAGCAGCATTAACATAGCCTGGGAACCTGTTAGAAATGCAAATTATCAGCAGGTATTCCATCCAGAAGGAACCAGTGAAGCCCTGATACACCCTGTCTCTTCCTCCTGTTTCTCTGGCTCCTACCTATGCCAGACAAGTTTAGCTTTCAGATCTGCCTGGAGGAACTTGTTTGCAAATGAAGCAATTGAGGAAAGACTGCATCTGAGAGAAGCTGACAGGCAAGACAAACTGTGTGTTGTGTTTTAGCAGCATGTCTGCCAGGGGCTCATTTTTTCTTTAGAAGCTGAGTCTTTAGTAAAGACCTTGCAGTGTTTATAGATTTTCTTTCACTTTAAAAAAAAAAAAATTGAGGTGGTTGATTTAGAATTGTGGATTCATGTTAGAAGTGACAGATGTAATTTTTCCATCTTATTTCTAGCTTCCCTGTGAGTCACTTACTGGTTTGGAACTCCAAAGTTTAAAATGTGCTTTCCTCAGTGTGGATAGGTGAAAACATCTAGGTGTGTGTTAAGACTCACTGACTACACTT